GTGCAGAGGAGACGTGCATCTGTTGGCCTATTTGGTTTGGTTCTCAGCAGCGTTTGTGTCTGGATCTCGAGCGTTCACACACACCGAAACACAATGTCAGAGTAGTGGTTTTTGTACAGGAACCCGGTGACTTCTTCATGTGGTCACGGCGCCTTCCTCTCAGTCAGACGTGAACAAACACAGCGTTTCAAAAGTACAGTAACGTTTTGGCACAAATGTATCCCACACATGCGCGCTGTGATTGAACGATTTAAATGCGCCGTTAGCCGATTGTGGCGAGCTCTGAATGTCTGCAGCAGTGATGCTTTTTGGCGTGCGTACCAAAGAGCGAGACAAGCGGGAGGAAGTGATCTTGTGGCCTGGAAATACACATATATGTTTGCTGTGGTCTGTGGCTGGTTGGGTTATTAACGGCTTCCATCCTGACATACTATGTTACTGTCAGAAACGTATCGAGGTACAAAAAGCTGCCGTGCGAGGCCCGTGGAGCTTTGGACGGACCCAAGACAAACGTCAACGAGCCAGAGGAAGTTTGCTCGCTAGACCTTTGGTCACATTTTACAATCACCACAGTTTCAAGATGACTGAATATGAAATACAGCCACCGTTTCCTCTTCTGTTTCTGAGCGACTGACTTCAGTTAGGGTCAGTAACGTCGTTTTTGGTTTTGTTTCTGGGGCTCTGACTGTTTTTTAGTCACGTCAACTTTGCTGTTTGATCACGCTGATCAGTTCGTTGTCAAGTCACAATTTCTGCAAAGCAGTCCTGAGATATCAGTCGCACAATAAGACTGGAGGGTTAAGTTTCCAGGTTAAAGAACGCCGTCCATAAAATCTGCAGAGGAAACGCTGAAACCAGGAGACGGCTGCCACCTGTCGTAACTCGCACAGCTGAAAGCAACAAGAATGCATGACAACGCCACAGCGGACTGATCTCAAGACGCTTGTTCGACGTCTTTGTGGGAAAATGCTTTTTTTTAAAAGTGAAAGGTAACAACAGAAAACGGCGACTCTGCTGTCACGTTACAAACTGATCCTCATCTCAAACTTCCCTCCGTCAGACTGATAAACGACGCTGTATCTGTAGACATCATGACTCCATTGTGCACACACGTCGGCCACAGCTGTGAGCAACTTCCTGTTTAGCTCTCAGTTACGAGGTTTCCTTGTATGGAAATGATAACCACAGTGAGACAGGCTAACGGAGACGTGAGCGCCGTTGGTTGACTCTGCTTCAGCAGTTTGGATCACGTCACGCCGTCAGCTGCACAGCGTGCAGAGATGCAGAGATGCAGCAAAGTCCTGTCAATGTTTCTGCTTTTTAGTTTTCTTCAGACAGATGCAGCGAAGATTCACAGGAAAGCAGAGAAGGAGCTGCAGGTCGGACTCAAACCCGGGACGGCTGTATGGTCGCCCGTTCACCCACTGCGCTGAACCGATGTCTGATTCAGTGTTTCTGATACTAGAAATTAATATTAAATAAATTCTAACAGCTGATCAAGCTTAAACCTGCTGCTGTTTAGCGCGACATCGCTGGTTTCTTTCTGGCGCGAAGTGGGCAATAAACAAGCAAGAGAGAAAAGCCGATCAGCTGATCATTGATCAGTTTCATGATTGAAGTAGAAACAGGAGAG